CGGAATCTGCTGCCATACAAAATGTGCATGGTTGAACAGGCTTTGGAACTGGTCCTATTTGTGTTGGTATTGATGAAACACCCCCTGCCCCAGTGCATGGACAGAGCATGGAAACACCAGTGAGATGCAATCTGGCCGAGGCAGACCTCAACCGTTTCAGTTTGAATGCACGTTTCACATTTTATTTTTTCCGAGCCTTCTGCTAATTCACTGCAATACTCGGCATGACAGTGACCAAATCTGTTTAAAAAGCTGCAGCAGGTTTTCTGTTTTGTGTGTGTTTTTGTTTGGAATAAACCTATGAATCGCAAAAGTACAGTATGAAATTCAAGGTGCACACTAGTTTACAACATTCATGCTGGCCTTCAGCTCTGTTTGCAGTGTTGGCCTGCATTCATCTTCGTCTGTTAAGGTAATTACATGCCCAACAGTGCAGCTTATAAAACCATTTTTCTATAGAATCAGTATTGGGAATATTGCTCATACTCCTGTTTAATATTGCCGGCTCTATTGTATATTAGCATGCTTGAGTGGGCAAGAGATTATGCTCTGAATACCATCTGTTCAGCATGTAGTCTAGTGTCGTAAATGTGTAAATGGCTTTGTCACTACTGGTGTGAAAACTGTAGTTTTTGTACGGTTTTGTTACTGTTGGTGCAAAATCTCACCAACCTGTTACTTCGGACAGCCTTATTAAAAACATTTCATTGCTTCGAGAATGTGTGAATGTTGATGTGACCAATTCCTATTTCTGGTAATTCAACACTTTATTGTTAAGAGAAACGGACTCTTGCCATGTGGCAAGTGCATTAAGTGGTAGAAAAAGTATGGGTGTTGTTCAGACGCAGGTGGTCTTTTCTGATTTATTCCAAATTGTAATTAGTTTTTAATGCTGATAGTTGCTTGATGTCAGTGATGTTTCCTTGATCTTTCTACTTGAGGGGCCATGTTTGAGTTTGTGTCTAGGGTCTTTGTAAACTGTGGATGTCAGGGTTAGGGTTCAAATTCGATAATGGGGCATACTTGTGACCTTGGGCAGGTCCCTTTACCTTGAGTGGGGGGTGTAAGTTGGCACCTTTGAGGGCGAAGAGGGTTATTGTGGTTGATTTACCTGGTAGCTCCTCAACTGGTTATAGCCTCCAGGTTATATGCTCCTCTGGGAGTTGAGATGGTTTATGGGATTATTTATGGACCCAGTGAGCCGGGATGACAGAGTATGAATTGTAGTAAGAGTCTGTCAGTATTGGAATGCACTATAAATACATCATATTGTTGAATATGCCATATTATTTGTTGAAATTGACAACTCCTTTGTTGTATGTTGACATTTAATGTGGACGGCAGACTTGTTTTTTTTTCTCTCTCTCTCTCTGTGTGGTGCCGTGTCTTAAAAAGTCTTCCCCCCCCCAGTGCTGCAGAGAGAAATTTTGGGGCCTAAATTATTTGCAGCATTTTGTTGCATGTTTCAAGGGCATGGGAGAACTTTGTCCAGACAATGAAACAATCCTAATTCTCATGTTAATATGGCTGGCATGATTTTGCGGGGTACATGGCCGGAGAAAATGCTGTATTGTCAGTTTAAGAAGATTTGTAAGGCTTGACATGGGGTTTGTGGGTGTGTGTGAGTTTGTTTCTGCATTCAATTGGGGACCCCGAACAATAGAGGGCAATAAGATCCCCAATTGACAGAGGGTCCCCGATGGACAACTGTGTACAAAACATATGGATGGTCTTCTAAAAAAGTTGGAGTAAAAACAAAAGAGGAACAATAGGGGGTCCCCAGTTGCAGGCAAATACACACTTTTGTGTGTGTGTGTGTGGGGGGGGTAGGGTTTCATATTCTTAGTCATAGATTTTAGTTATCAGCTTTTTGGGGCTGATGTGGAAGTGCAGGATATTTTGCACACAATTTTAACAAAAGTTTATGTGATGTTAATAGTTAAAAGTCATCTATAAAGGCATGTGGAGACTTCTAGTCTGAAAAATGTCCCAGCGTCCAGACTCTAAGCAGGCAAAATTCTAACACGCGATCCACAATTTTTTAACGAGATCTCTTTCAGTAATAAAGTCTATTTTAAATTCAGTTTTTATGTGAGACGAGCGACTGAAAGCTTACACTGTAAAGTGTATCNTTGTATAATTACACCCTTTGATGTGGTCGAACATTTGTACTAGATGGGTGTTTAGAAAAGGTTTGCATTTCATTTACTTAGGGTTCTACTGTAGGTAGTGGACTAGCAGTGCAATCCAAGGGCTGGCCAGAAACTTGAAGAACAACTCAAGACTCGGGGTCAAGTCAAGACCGCTGTACGACGAGAGGGTCGGGCCGGCGCCCCGAAGGCTACTCTGCGGTGAGACAGCCCGAGAGTTCCTGGCCAAAACGTGAAACAGTCATCACTGCAGTGACAGAACGGATCCTTTAGAATTTTTACGTTAAATTTCAGTGGTGCATCTACTGTGTTGAAAACCTCAAAAGTCCCGGGTGTATTTCATATCGTGTGAGATCAACAAAACTGTAAATATATATTTTTTTAAACAATAATAAATTTGTAAATTAGTCTCCATAAAATAGAAGATCTTGCATCCAGTGTCTTATTTGCTGGAGAGTGCAAATAACTGCCGAAGGTTATGTCCTTGGGGTAACCCAGGATGTGACAACCACTCCATAGCTTGTATTCCATGAAACCCATTATAACTTTCTGAGTGCATTTTGCAATGGGTGCTTGTTGTCAGTTTAGACCTTTTAGGGTTTTTCTTTGTTTTTTTTTTTGGGGGGGGTGACCTACCATAAACTACCATTTGAACAAGAAACATTCCATGCGGACTATTCAAGCAGTCTACGCTGCATTTTTGAGCGGTATGAAGCCCATGATATGTACACACTCACTTTGTGTCACTGTGTCATTCTCTGTCATATAAAGTCATTTGCATTTGCAGTTGACCTGTGCACCTCCCCCCCCCCCACTCTCACAGTTACTTATGACCATTACAATAATCCCCTGGAAGTGCCACCACATGGGAAAAGTGTTTGCAGGTGGTTATTGTGGGGTCTATATATAGTTCAAAATCCCCCTGGATTTATTAAATGCTCCTGCTTCTGTTTTAATTTATTCACAACATTGTCAGTCACAGCCTTGGTGGATGAGATGTCAATTTAGTTGATTTCTCCTTTTGTCGGTATGTGCCTCTGTGTCTGGCTTATCATGTACTGCTGATTATATACACAAACAGTGATGAGGTTGACTCCTGATGTACTGAACTTCTTGTGCCAGTCACAGGGCTGGATGTCTGAGCTGGAAGAGTTGCCAGTACGGTGTTGTGCAGGTATTCTGCCTCAGTCAGTGTTGATTCGTCTCTATCATTAAGTGGCCCATGAAGCGTATTTTTATTTTACTAACATGTGGTAGGCCTATTTTGTACAACTTTCCACTTTCGTTAGGTGTATGAAAGCCATTTGACATTCCATCTTTTTGAAACATAAAAAAATTCCATGATTTTCCTGAAAAATGAGGGTGCTGTTGCTGCAATGACGTCAATGATTTCCCCCCCCCCGCCAATTTTTTTCTTTTTGTTTTTTAAAATTAGGAAATGAAAGTACCAGCATGTAAAACAAATGTACAGTGAGGATTATTATATGAGTGAAAAATTGAAGAGGCATTTCCAGAAGAAAAAAACTGTTCTACCCCCACCCCTTCCCTGACCTGGATAAGCCACTGTCCTCCAAATTCTATGGACTTGATGTGTCTTTCCATTGGAGTTGTTTGCACTTTGCTATTCACGTTCCCGCGGGCAGCCCCCTCATGTGATGAAGGAGGAGATGCAGGCACGCTTGATCGACAAGTGAAGCGGTCTCTTCAGAAACCAGTCACATATTGTGCGGGACTCTTCCGAGTGGAAACGGCATGTGTCATATTTCGTGGGGTTCATTCCAGTCTTCATCACCTGGTTGATGAGAACCTTCGTGGCAATCACGCATGTCAGAACCTGGATTGCGCATTCCACATGTTGGCATTGGTGTGTTGGCCCTTCTGTTAATGCGACGTGAACATTAAAAGGTTCTGCGAAATGAACTTTTACACTGAGGCATATTTTGGTGTGAATACCAAGGCCAGGCAAGATGGAGATGTCCCATTTTGAATTATTTTGTTTTTATACTTGTTTTCACCATTGAAATCCTCCTTGCTCTTCAAGGAACATAAGAGTACAGTGACGTCACTTTAGGAAATTTGTAGTTTTCTGTGTCAACACCAAAGTGAGAAATATGACCTCAACTCCTCTCCCCCCCCAAAAAAAGCCAAATTCTGGCAACTTTTGAAGTCGAAGCAGTATAAACATTGAAGGTTCTTTTCACAATGAAGTCACTCCTTTGCTCTTGAATATTGTACATCGTATCAAATTCAAAACAAGATAAAAAAAAGGCCCCAGGGTATCGGAGAGGAGGTAATAGGAAGGATTGAAAACGGAGGTACATGGGACACAAAGGTGCATTGCAGCAGTCGTTTTAATGGGCTCTTGAGGAATATTTGGAACGTTGGAACAGTTTTGCAGCTAAGCCGTTTTCGCAGGTTGTAGAAGTGACCGTTGTGGAGTATTATGACTGACAGCTTCTTGAGCCCTGCCAGGTACTTGCATGCCTGCGGGGGTGCAGAATCCATCTATGGATAGCACTTCATCAGGACGTTTCAGATAAGCAGTTTGCCGACGCTGTGTTGCACGTATCCTGCCAAGAACTCTCTTCTTGGTTCGCAATGAAATGGAAAAAAATGTCGCTAACGAAAGATTGTACAAGGAAGGAGAAATGTTTCCTGACTTCTGGCAGACCATGAAAATTGGGAGAAAATTACCCATATGAATGAAGCATTCGTACGATGATCCTGTCTATTTGTGGTATCACCGAGCACATTAGTGCATGGGAGAAACAAGTTAAGCTTAAACGTTCACGAGAGATGTTCTGATTTTTATCTTTTTCTCTTCTTCTTTTTGTTTGTATCTACATGCAGGTAAACTCGGCTGCCTTTGTTCTCCTATCTGCTGATTGCCAGTGCACTGCTGTGATGAGTTTTTAACCCGGCCTGCATCGGTGACATTTAATTTCTGTTGATGCCATAAAGCGGGATGATCTGTTACCCCTAGTGCTGGCTCAGACTTCGAAGCCTTCCCGCGTAATGATGTCTGCCATATGTGATAACCCAATCACGTTGTTAGGACTGCATCTTTTATGGTTTCTGTTTTAATCTTTCCAACCATAAAAAAATTCTATTTCATATTCGACTGTGTTCATTCTGAATTCACCGAAGTTGCCCAACAGTTTGGCTGAATTCGCCACACAACTCATACTGTTTATCAACCGTTGTTGCCCGAACCCAAGTTGATAGAATCTTATTGGATTTAGATCATTCGACGTCTGGACTTCTCTGGAAAATGATCGTGCTCTGTTTCAACATCAGATTTCGTTCTGGTGTTTCTAGCAAATGATTGGATCCACTGTCGCCCTCTATGTTAAGCAGCAGTGTTTTCAGCACTTTATGGACCTGTATGGGTAGGACCCCTTCATTTGATTGGTAATCAAATACCTTCCTCGAAGCTGACATAAATAGATCAGTTCAGTGAGCCTGTTGGCCTACCCACATAACTGTTTTGGACAAAGGAAAGCAGATTCCCAAACTTGGCCTATACTCTCTCTATTTTTTAAGGTGTTCCTATTTGTGAACTTGTTTAAAAATTAATGTAGACTTTGGGTGTTTTCTTAGCTTAACTCTCCATGTATTGGTTAGGTAAATGTATGTCGAATCACTTTTGAGTAAATTCTTCAGATATCTGTGTTTTTGTAGCTTTATTTATCTCGAGAACCATGTTGAATATTCATTTCTTGGAGTTCTCTTTTTTATTTGAATTGAAGATTCACGATTTGTTTTGCCATAATTTTTATGAGTGTTCTCTTTCTTGTTTTTCTGTCGTGATTTGTCTTGTCAGAGTTGAAGTATTAAAACCACACTGCGGCTTGCACTTTCTGTAGGGGCTTTCCTTCTGCCTAGTAGTATCTCATGTCTGTCATGCAAGTTTTTACCATTTGCAACGATCGAGTGTGTAAGCCTGGTCGTGCTCTGAGGTTACAGCTGGCGGCTCAGCGAGAGGCGATAGAATTGTAATCATGCTCCAAACGCGACTATAATTTGTCCTATTATCGGACCTGTCCCGTTCCTCTATGAAATAGCCGCTCACACACTAGTATAGTTTCGAAGGCTCGGGCCCCGTTAGAACAACGGATAACACTCAGAATGCTGCCTTTTCCCTGTTGCTCAGCGCTCTGTGCAAGCTAATTGATTTCATGCCGTTTACTTTTACGAGCCATTCGTTTCTGTGTAACCGTCTGCGTTTTGAAAAGTTGGCGACAAGGATGGGCCGTTTAATTTCCCGGGGGAGATGTTGTCTCAGCGTGTAGATTGTGAAATGCTCAGCTTTTGTCTAAGCAGCCCATTCATTCCGACACAGTTTTCATTGCTAATAAGGTTTTGACGTTTCCCGCCGTTTTATTCGAAAATTGAATCGGATAATTCTTATATGTAAGAATTCCCCACGGCAAGCCCACGGGCTGTTGATCTGAGCTGGGCCAGTGCAATATGTGTACCCATATAGCGGTTTCGAAAAGAAACGCGCACGTCAGTCTCGTCCTAGAGATCATCTCGTTACTTCAGGTACCACATGTACAAACCCCACGTTTTTATACAGTCACAGTCACGCTGCAATTCAGTTGATGGAAATATGTGTTTTCGCCTGTAGTTGACATGTTCCGTGCGAGTTCACCCAGGCGCTACGGGCTTTAGCTGCCATTCTTAATAAACGTGGATATACATGTAATACGTTTTTGGTCCTTTCTTTAACACGTGCATTTTCAGCCTCTGAACATTTTCAGTGGACACTGTAATTTACGCATACAGACACGAAGAGCGCTAAAATGCATCTGTGGAAAGGCACCCGTATACTAAGTGTCTCCAGCGTGAGGTCATTGTTGATCTCTATCAGCGTCAACTTGCCGTACCCTTTTATAAGGCCAGCCTTAGTTTGGTGTCCGAACTAACGTTTGCTCATGCGTACTTAGCATCGTCAAGATTGGAGGCAGTCGGCTCGGGTTAAACTTGACAATTTTATCCGGTTCGTTCGTGACACTGATAGCAGGCTCTCGTCGGACGAACGCCGGTTCTATGTAACTCGATGTTCAATGGGCGTGGATTAAATTGAAGTGACGTCACACTTACGAACCGGATAGCAAGGTGTATTCGAGTTTGTAAACACCACTCATTACGCTCAGTACAAAACACAGCTGCGCTCCAGTTCTTCTGGAAACAAGACCCTGATAGTCGTTCCCAGATTTGGAGCAGTATGTGTGATTTCGGATATTTATTAAATATTTAATATTTATTAAACGATAAACAATAGACGCCTCTGATTGTCACTAGGCCTATATCCGTTTTGGTCGGCAGCCGGTAGCGTGTTCTTTCTACCTTGTTTATAAGCTCTCCGGCGCACCTGGCATGTAGTTCATAATGTATACTTGCCCAAACGGCTAGTACATGCAGGCATTCCATTGTGTCGTGGAAGTCGTTTCTATGTATTTCGCTTTAAACTCGGCACCGATACGCATTTGTTTTTCTTGCCCACCAATAACGGGTTTTGTGGCCTTGATTTTCATGAAGCAGCCATGAGATGCACCACAAGGACGGTTTTGATTAAAGCATTTTTAGCCTTGGTATAGAGTGATACTACAGTGTAACAATACACGTTCCCGTAAAATAAGTCAAGGTCCCTCGTAGAAACCTTTAACCGATGAGAAAAAAACAAACAGGAAGACACTGAAAATTATATGGCCTCGGCACAAGCGCGTAATCTTTGCAGTTCTCACACTAGATTTTCTTGGTCGGGGGAAAATGTATTTGTATAGAGTTGACTAACAAAGGTAACACTAAATTCAGGGTACCGGTACGGCTAAGTAAATCACTAATTATATGGTTTTTTCGTTTGGCTGTCGACAGAATTTGAGTCGCTTAATTGTAATTTTTTTCAGCTTACGTGATTATGCGTTAGCTTATCCTGAGTCATGAATGACGTGGTTGTGCTGAAGCATGGTCGTGCTGCAGAACCGATAACCCAAACGTTGGCTCAAGAACCGTTTTCAATTTCAGGAATTTCATGCATAGGCCTACCCGGTACCAGTTTGAACCAATTTCACAGACGGTGAAAAAAGAAAGGTTTTATTAAAACCACTTCCTGCCGGAGCAGTTATCAACGTTGAAGATGCTGGGCCGGGATATTTATCATTTTTTTTGTTTTAAAAATTCTTCAAAAATTCCTATCTTCATTAACTGGACACGAACAAACATGGGAAGGACTGTCTGGTGTCCACTCTAGCCTGACAGATAAATATACCCAGCAAGAAATGAGACCGAGGGGTACCCCCCCCAACACGTCCAATCTCTATACACATTCCAGACTATTGTTACTTAACACATCCCCCCAAGTTGTCTGAAAGGAATTCCCCAGATTCCTGCGAGACAATGACCAACACAAAGCGGGGGGGGGGAGGTTCTCTCCGTCTCATACCTTGCTGCATATGTAGATAAAATCAATTGACGCCGGAGTATTTCAGCCAGTCCTGCAGCCTTGTAAAAAGAGCCCAGATTGTGTGGTGTTACATAACTGTCTTTTGTTCACAAACCTGGCTCAGTGCGCTGCTGACCTCTTCAATAGGGGCCAGATTAGCATGCAGCGGTGCAGTGTGGCTCATCGCTGCGGTGGTAGAGCGCTTTTGTCTCCGGGGGTAATCCGCTCGCTCAAAATGCCCCAAACTGTGGTATACTGTTTCAAAACAAGGCTAGATTGTATCCACTTTTGAGAATGAAAAAATGTCGGTAATGCCCAGCAGCCTGGTCTTTTGTTCTGAGTACTGTCTTTCGTTACAAGGCCCTGTTCCCTTTGTCTGAGTTCGGAGAACCCGGCCACGCATATAACGCATACGTGTCTGGATCCCGAATCCCTCGGCAGGAATGGTTGTAAAGGTTTGTGTAGGAAAATTTTAAAGTAAAGGTCGGGCTGTAGGGAATGCTTGATTGGTTTCACATTAATGTGAAGTGGTTTTTGATGGGCTCATTGGGTATTGAGATAAAGTGTACATCTTGAATGCGTATTTACGTCAGCTTTTACCCTTGGAATTTTAGGTTAAGGCTGGTTGACTTCAAAAGATCGCGAAAGCAAACGAATTGGACGTCACGAAACGTTTACAGCGATATTTGCCAGTCTGAGAGTGGAACTGTTGCAAATTTGTTGATCTGACGTCACAATTTCGCGTCTGTGTTCACTTTTGCGAATACAGACGCGAATTTGTTTCGCGGGTACCCGCATTTCCTACTAATTTACGTGCTGTTGGTCTGTTTTCTTTAGTGTCTTTTTACGGGAGAGACATTAACAGTAACGGTAATATTAGTTTAATGCATTTTGGTAATTGTCTATATCCCTTCTGAGCTGTGTTAAAGTGTAACTGCAATGATTTTTTCTTTGGCACAATTTTTCTGCCTCTTTGTACTCGTCTTCAGTGTATGAAAACTCTTTTACCCTCCTATTTGGTTAAACGCATTAAAAAGTGCACGCTTTTAAACAAAGTTATCCTTGTTTTCCCAGGCAACTGAGGGCGCTGTTGCTGTGAAGTCATCTAGAGAAGACATGGTTCAATGCATAGGTATTTCTGTTTAAATTGTGAACCCCAGAATTTAATAACTGAAAACATTTCTGAGAGGATTGACGGTTTCTTGTTTTTATGAACATGAACAACAATGAATCAGCAAAGAAGAGAAAACTGAAGCCAGGAAAATCAACGAAAACGCACGACTTTTTTGTGTAGCCAATGTAACATTGAGGCTTCTTCCTGAGATGACATCACAGTTTTGCTCCTGAATATGGAAATGCTCATTAGCATCAAAACAAAAAGGTCTTAAAATACCTTTTGAAATAATGAAACCAAAAGTTAAAAATGAGGTTTACTGAGACATAAAATACATTTTACAGATTTGTAATTTAAAAAAAAGGATTGCAGCTACCCTTTAAGCAGCCAAATATAGTGTTGAGCGAACATCATAAAAGGCAGTTTATATCACAAGGAAATATGAAAGCAAAACGAGCGAATTTGACGTCAAGAAGGATTTGCAGCAAAATTTTGATGGGGAGTTAAAATGTGTGCAAATTCGCATTGTGTTCGCTTTTGCGCCGAGTATGAACCGGCCTTCATGTGAACTTTGGCGAACAACGTCACAGGGTCTCACTGTGACCACACGATTCCTCATAAATTTCTTGCTAAACAATAATTATGTGCGGGCTTTCCGCTATTGCCTCCAAGCAAAAGCCATCAAGCCCTCGATAAGAATCGAAGAACAGCATCGGTCCGCCTCGCTTCATGCACTCTCCAGCTTCTACATGCGTGGCTCGCAAAACTACAGGGGATATATGAACCGCGAGACGCACGAGCAGGACACCTGAGTCTCCCGCGTCTTATTCCGACACAAAGAAAGGAAAAAAGGGGGAAGAAAAAGGCCTGCTTCGCACCCGCGGATAACGATTGTCGCCAAGGGCTTGATGAAAAGGCTTGCTGTTGGATCGAAGCCGAGGCCAGACCATGGTTCGCTCATTACGCGGGCCCACCGCGCCTGGCCCCTAGCCTCCCATGTCGGTCCCAGATTTAGACATTTCCCCCTCCACCGTCATCGAGCACCACGAACCGCTGGAGCCCTGGCGCGCCATTCCTTCGGCCGCTTGTTACCACGTCGGATCCCATCCATCGGCGGAGTATCCGAGGACAAAGCTTTTATCGACCGGGCCAACGGCGATTAAACTGGTTTATTTTTACTCGCCCTGATTTCGCCAAAGCCCTGTCGCTCCGGTGAAAGAAAAAAACCAAAAGACTGACACAGAGAATGCAAATGCACTATTTTCTAGCCCCTGTGAATGAAATATTTATTGGAACTGTATTT